ATGTTCACGAATGCGGTCCGAGACATGGCGTTTGGTTTCTCCAATGTAACTACTACCACAGAGGCAAGTTAGTTTGTAGACACCAGGGTATTGTATGTCCGGAATCACATCTTTTACAGACGGAACCAGATCACGGATTTTATGTAATGTGTTGAAACGGACCTGGATCTTGTGTTTATTCAAGATTTTGGAGATCTTTTTTGTGATCCCAGCAATGTAAGGTAAAGTGATGGTTTTGAAAGGCTCCTCAAGAGGGTTCTTCTTCATGGTTTGAGTGATAGCTTTGCGGATTGTATAGTCGGAGTAACCATTAGCCCTAAGAGCTTGGTGTACGTGCTTGAGTTCACTGCTTATGTGTTCCTGGTCGGATATGCATTGGGCTCTATGATACAGAGTCTTGATGAGAGAATTCTTCTGTGATGGATGGTGGTGGGAATCCGGTTTCAGATAAGCATCCGTATGGGTAGCTTTCCTGTAGACAGAGTGGCTCATTGAACCATCAGGTCTCTTTTTAATTAGGACATCCAAAAAAGGTATCTTGCCATCTATTTCGACTTCCATGGTAAATCTGATGGCTGGGTGTATGGAATTGATGTGGTCGAAGAATTGGTCTAGAGCAGGCCGGCCATGTGGCCAGATGACAAAAGTGTCATCCACGTACCTCTTCCATAAGGTTGGGCGCAGAGTGGCAGTCTGGATGGCGTCAGTCTCAAATTTCTCCATGAAAATGTTAGCTATAACTGGAGAAAGGGGGGAGCCCATTGGGGTGCCCTCAGTTTGTTTGTAGAAAGTTCCATTCCAAGTGAAGTATGTATTGGTTAAACAGTGTCTCACCAGGGGGGGTACCTCAGTGTTTAGTCCTTGATGAACCAAGTCTTCAATGATTGCAATGGTATCAGGTACAGGAACCTTGGTGAATAAGGAAACTACATCAAAACTGACAAGCAGGTCGTCTGGGGACAGGGAAATACCCTTGATTGTTGATACCAGGTGAGTAGAATTTTGTACCGCAGAGGTGGTCTTTCCAGTGAAAGGACGCAGGATTTCAGACAAAAAACGAGCTAGTTTGTAGGTGGGGGAGCTGATAGTAGAGACTATGGGACGAAGAGGTGTATCAACTTTATGTATTTTTGGTAAGCCGTATAACCTTGGTGGCCTGGCAGCAGAAGGTTTCAACGAAAACTGTTTAGATTGATCAATTAATGCGGTTGAATCAGAAATTATTTTGTTGGTTTGTGTGACGAGGCTGTTGGTGGGATCTCTTTTTATTTTTGTATAACTACCATCGTCGAGTAATTCTTTAATTTTGTTGTTGTATTCTATTTTATCCATGATGACAGTAGCATTGCCTTTGTCAGCTGAGAGAACTACAATATCATTCCTCTTTTTTAATTTATATAATTCAAAACGCTAATCTTTGCTGAGGTTGCTAGCTGGCATCTTAGCGTTTTTGAGGGTTGCAGCGATTTCAGATCTTGCTACGTCTGCAGCGATGTGACCCAGGCCCCTGAGAGCAACGTCTACTTGGGCAATTATATCATTAACTGGTATGTGTTTAGGTGTGACTGCAAAGTTTAGACCTTTAGCTAAAACGGATTTCAGACCATCGGAAATAGAACTGTTACTGCGATTAATTACGACTTTATAAACGTCTAACTTTTTGGTGTGTGGGTCCGGTCTTTTGTTGAAGAGGAGGTTAAATTTGGAAATCAGGTTTTCCTTACATTTGGTCGACATAGTAGCAGCTGAAGAGGCAGTCATATTGTCTACATGTTCCCAATCCGATGTGGACATTATTGCCGTCAATGATAAGTGTGATTTGTAGAGTGTCTTGTCTAACTGATCTAGTTCTGTGCGTATAAGTCTGATTTTTTCTGAGATAAGAGCTAAGCTAGTTTTGAAAAGAATTCGTTTCGCATTAGAAGAAGTTACAGCAGCAGAGGTCAGTGTAAATGCGATTGGTATTACCCCAGAGTCGCGGCATCTCTTCAGGAAGGTGAGAGACTCGATCAGCTGAGCTTTCTTATCCCGGAGTTTGTTGAAGGATCTTAAAGTTATGTGAAAACCCTCCCCGTAGAGGCGATTAAATTTTGATTTAAAGCTTTCGTGACTGCAGTAATTCATATTCTTAGTTTTTTCGGTAAAGTCACGTTGAAGAGAAACAACAAAATAACAAAATATATATAAAACAATAAAAAATTCTCACGACGTTTCGACCATAACTCAAACTAGCTCGTTTTTTTTGTCTGAAATCCTGCGTCCTTTCACTGGAAAGACCACCTCTGCGGTACAAAATTCTACTCACCTGGTATCAACAATCAAGGGTATTTCCCTGTCCCCAGACGACCTGCTTGTCAGTTTTGATGTGGTTTCCTTATTCACCAAGGTTCCTGTACCGGACCCCATTGCAATCATTGAAGACTTGGTTCATCAAGGACTAAACACTGAGGTACCCCCCCCTGGTGAGACACTGTTTAACCAATACATACTTCACTTGGAATGGAACTTTCTACAAACAAACTGAGGGCACCCCAATGGGCTCCCCCCTTTCTCCAGTTATAGCTAACATTTTCATGGAGAAATTTGAGACTGACGCCATCCAGACTGCCACTCTGCGCCCAACCTTATGGAAGAGGTACGTGGATGACACTTTTGTCATCTGGCCACATGGCTGGCCTGCTCTAGACCAATTCTTCGACCACATCAATTCCATACACCCAGCCATCAGATTTACCATGGAAGTCGAAATAGATGGCAAGATACCTTTTTTGGATGTCCTAATTAAAAAGAGACCTGATGGTTCAATGAGCCACTCTGTCTACAGGAAAGCTACCCATACGGATGCTTATCTGAAACCGGATTCCCACCACCATCCATCACAGAAGAATTCTCTCATCAAGACTCTGTATCATAGAGCCCAATGCATATCCGACCAGGAACACATAAGCAGTGAACTCAAGCACGTACACCAAGCTCTTAGGGCTAATGGTTACTCCGACTATACAATCCGCAAAGCTATCACTCAAACCATGAAGAAGAACCCTCTTGAGGAGCCTTTCAAAACCATCACTTTACCCTACATTGCTGGGATCACAAAAAAGATCTCCAAAATCTTGAATAAACACAAGATCCAGGTCCGTTTCAACACATTACATAAAATCCGTGATCTGGTTCCGTCTGTAAAAGATGTGATTCCGGACATACAATACCCTGGTGTCTACAAACTAACTTGCCTCTGTGGTAGTAGTTACATTGGAGAAACCAAACGCCATGTCTCGGACCGCATTCGTGAACATAAAGCAGACCTTAAACACGGTAGGACCAACACCTCGGCCGTAGGAGATCATTGTTCTAATTCAGTAGGCTCACATGCCATTGACTTTTCCAAGACGGAGGTTCTTTGTAAGCCATCTGGCTTCCATGAGAGATTCGTTCATGAGGCTATCCACATATACAAGCACAGAGACAATTTCAACCGAGAAGATGGATTCTATCTTAGCAATCATTGGAAAGATTTGATAAATCATTTCAGTTCTTGATTGATTGTTCACGCTTACAGTGGCTTTCAGACAGCATACATTATAAAAAATTTCGTCTCCCCCCTCCTGTTTTAAAAAAAATAGATGGACTAGTCCTGGGCAAACTGCCAATCGCTGCGCGTGACGCCAACGTTTTTTTTATAAATAAATAAATGTGCCGTTTACAAATAAATTTATGCAAACCGACACACCTGATGATGACCGTTTGAGTTATGGTCGAAACGTCGTGAGAATTTTTTATTGTTTTATATATATTTTGTTATTTTGTTGTTTCTCTTCAACGTGACTTTACCGAAAAAACTAAGAATATAACATTGAGGTATATTCTTAGTTTTTTGTGACTGCAGTAATTCATATTCTTTGTGTTAATAGCTCACCTTATTGAAGAATATATTGAGTACATTTATTATACTGATGTAATTTAGACTTAGTTTTTTCACAGCGGTTTACTGTATGATAGTTGGGTAGTTGCAGCCCTTTAGCGTCCATATACTAAATAGCTATTTCTGTGACCAGTCACAAGCTAATCCCTCAGCTAATTCAATGCTAAATTATCCTGTTTGATATGTAAACTCCTTTGTCAAGTCGCTTCACTTCTCTCGCCTAGCTTAAAAGACGCTACGAATCTTAGCAGCGTTTATTGAAGCTCTGTCGTCCCGACAGTTATGTTCCTTCACCTGAAGAAGGCTACTTGTGTTGTGGCCGAAACGTCATGAGAATTTTATTTTATTTTTTTAAGTTTTATTACTTTGTTTCCATTCTACGTGACTTTACCGAAAGAACCAAGAAGAAGAACACTTAGATTAAGGCCATCAGTCCAACTGCGTGCTACAATAAAGAAAAACATGGCCAAACCAAAAAAACTTTTAGAAATCACCAAAACAAAGCCACACATGCAATGTAACGGTGATCATTGGAACTGTGACCGAATTTTTTTTTAACAATAAACTACATAAATGGCACGTAACACCAAACCCTAGAGCCACAGCTGGCTGCATGAGTCATTCCACAAACAAGAGGAGCATCAGTCGGAGTATCACATTTTTCAATGCACCTTTAAGATTGTACTCATCTGAAACCTATCTCATCTTTGGCTGTAGTAGCTCTCTCGCTATATTTATTCCTGCCTCAGCAGTCCGCCTGCTGTTTTATTTTTTTCACCTGAAGACGATTGCTTGTGTTGCGATCGAAACGTCGTGATTTTTTTCTATCTACGTGACTTTACCGAAAGACCCAAAAAGTATAACCCTAGAGCATTAAACAAATGCCAAATTGATGGAGAGACCCAGGGGTGTGGCGTGTTAGCCCTACCTAGCCCATGGACTATTTCTGTACAGGGGCTTGAGATGTAAGCACATTTAGACGCTATAGAACTCCACATTATGCTGCATCGTGTCGCTCAAATGCGACACGTGGCTGCATCTTGTCGCTGAGATGCGACGTTCGTTGTCGCTGCATCTTGTCGCTTGCTGGGAAGTGAATGGAGTGGGTGGGGGGGTAGGTCCACTTGCAGACAAAGAGACGGCAGCCTCGGCTGTTGCAGACACGGAGGAGGACACGGAGACACGGACAGCGGGGACAGAGACACGGCCGAGCGGAGCGTCAGTCGCGTGTTGTCCGTCTCTGCGTCCACGGTGAGCCGAGTGGGGCACGCGGACACGGCGCCGACTTGAGGCCGACTCGCAGTCTCCGGGGAGACGTCGTAGGGAGAGAGACAAACACAATAACACACAGACACAGTAACACACACAGACACACAGAGACACACAGACACACACAGAGACAAAATAACACACACAGACACACACAGAGACACACAAACACAATAACACACACACAGTAACACACAGAGACACACAGACACACAGACACACGCAGAGACACAACACACACAGTAACACACACAGACAGACACACAGACACACACGTACAGAGACACAGTAACACACACAAAGACACACAGTAACACACACAGACACACACAGACATGTGCGGAGACACAGTAACACACACAGGCACACAGAGATACACACAGAGACAGTAACACACACAGAGACAGTAACACATACAGACACACAGAGACACAGTAACACACACAGACACACAGAGAGACACACAGAGACACAGTAACACACACAGACACACATAGACACACATAGAGACACACAGACACACACAGACACACACACAGACACACAGACACACACAGAGACAGTAACACACAGACACACACAGAGACAGTAACACACACAGACACACACAGAGACAGTAACACACACAAACACACAGAGACACACACAGCCACGTACAGAGACACAGTAACACACAGCCACGTACAGAGACACAGTAACACACACAGGCACAGACACACAGAGACAGTAACACACACAGACACACACAGACACACAGAGACACACAGACACACACAGAGACAGTGGCACACACAGACACACACAGAGACAGTAACACACAGACACACACAAACACATAGAGACACACACAGCCACGTACAGAGACATAGTAACACACACAGCCACGTACAGAGACACAGTAACACACACAGATACACACAGAGACAGTAACACACACAGACACACACAGAGACACAGTAACACACACAGACACACATAGAGACAGTAACACACACAGACACACACAGAGACACAGTAACACACAGAGACACACACAGACACACAGAGACACAGACAGACACACACAACCACACATAGAGACACACACAGACACACACAGAGACACAGTAACACACACAGCCACGTACAGAGAAACAGTAACACACACAGACACGTAGAGAGACACAGTAACACATACAGACACGTACAGAGACACATTAACACACACAGCCACGTACAGAGACACAGTGACACATACAGACACGTACAGAGACACAGTAACACACACAGACACGTACAGAGACACAGTAACACACACAGACACCTACAGAGACACAGTAACACACACAGACACGTACAGAGACACAGTAACACACAGACACGTACAGAGACACAGTAACACGCACAGACACGTACAGAGACACAGTAACACAGACACGTACAGAGACACAGTAACACACAGACACGTACAGAGACACACAGACACGTACAGAGACACAGTAACACACACAGACACGTACAGAGACATAGTAACACACAGACACGTACAGAGACACAGTAACACACACAGACACGTACAGAGACACAGTAACACACACAGACACGTATAGATACACAGTAACACACACAGACACGTACAGAGACACACAGACACGTACAGAGACACAGTAACACACACAGACACGTACAGAGACACAGTAACACACACAGACACGTACAGATACACAGTAACACACAGACACGTACAGAGACACAGTAACACACAGACACGTACAGAGACACACAGACACGTACAGAGACACAGTAACACACACAGACACGTACAGAGACACAGTAACACACAGACACGTACAGAGACACAGTAACACACACAGACACGTACAGAGACACAGTAACACACACAGACACGTATAGATACACAGTAACACACACAGACACGTACAGAGACACACAGACACGTACAGAGACACAGTAACACACACAGACACGTACAGAGACACAATAACACACACAGACACGTACAGAGACACTAACACACACAGACACGTACAGAGACACAGTAACACACAGACACGTACAGAGACACAGTAACACACACAGACACGTACAGAGACACAGTAACACACAGACACGTACAGAGACACAGTAACACACACAGACACGTACAGAGACACAATAACACACACAGACACGTACAGAGACACAGTAACACACAGACACGTACAGAGACAGACACGTACAGAGACACAGTAACACACACAGACACGTACAGAGACACAGTAACACACACAGACACGTGCAGAGACACAGTAACACACACAGACACGTACAGATACACAGTAACACACACAGACACGTACAGAGACACACACACAGAGACAGTAACACACAGACACACACAGACACACACACAGACACACACAGAGACAGTAACACACAGACACACACAGAGACAGTAACACACAGACACACACAGAGACAGTAACACACACAGACACACACAGAGACAGTAACACACACAAACACACAGAGACACACACAGCCACGTACAGAGACACAGTAACACACAGCCACGTACAGAGACACAGTAACACACAGGCACAGACACACAGAGACAGTAACACACACAGAAACACACAGACACACAGAGACACAGACACACACAGAGACAGTGGCACACACAGACACACACAGAGACAGTAACACACAGACACACACAAACACATAGAGACACACACAGCCACGTACAGAGACATAGTAACACACACAGCCACGTACAGAGACACAGTAACACACACAGATACACACAGAGACAGTAACACACAGACACGTACAGAGACACAGTAACACACACAGACACGTACAGAGACACAGTAACACACAGACACGTACAGAGACACAGTAACACACACAGACACGTACAGAGACACAATAACAAACACAGACACGTACAGAGACACAGTAACACACAGACACGTACAGAGACAGACACGTACAGAGACACAGTAACACACACAGACACGTACAGAGACACAGTAACACACACAGACACGTGCAGAGACACAGTAACACACACAGACACGTACAGATACACAGTAACACACACAGACACGTACAGAGACACACACACAGAGACAGTAACACACAGACACACACAGACACACACACAGACACACACAGAGACAGTAACACACAGACACACACAGAGACAGTAACACACAGACACACACAGAGACAGTAACACACACAAACACACAGAGACACACACAGCCACGTACAGAGACACAGTAACACACACACAGCCACGTACAGAGACACAGTAACACACACAGGCACAGACACACAGAGACAGTAACACACACAGACACACACAGACACACACAGAGACACACAGAGACAGTGGCACACACAGACACACACAGAGACAGTAACACACAGACACACACAAACACATAGAGACACACACAGCCACGTACAGAGACATAGTAACACACACAGCCACGTACAGAGACACAGTAACACACAGATACACACAGAGACATTAACACACACAGACACACACAGAGACACAGTAACACACACAGACACACATAGAGACAGTAACACACACAGACACACACAGAGACACAGTAACACACAGAGACACACGCAGACACACAGAGACACACACAGACACACACAGCCACACATAGAGACACACACAGAGACACAGTAACACACAGCCACGTGCAGAGACACAGTAACACACACAGACACGTAGAGAGACACAGTAACACATACAGACACGTACAGGGACACATTAACACACACAGCCACGTACAGAGACACAGTAACACATACAGACACGTGCAGAGACACAGTAACACACACAGACACGTACAGAGACACAGTAACACGCACAAACACGTACAGAGACACAGTAACACACACAGACACGTACAGAGACACAGTAACACACACAGACACGTACAGAGACACAGTAACACACACAGACACGTACAGAGACACAGTAACACACACAGACACGTACAGATACACAGTAACACACACAGACACGTACAGAGACACAGTAACACACAGACACGTACAGAGACACAGACACGTACAGAGACACAGTAACACACACAGACACGTACAGAGACACAGTAACACACAGACACGTACAGAGACACAGTAACACACACAGACACGTACAGAGACACAGTAACACACACAGACACGTACAGAGACACACAGACACGTACAGAGACACGTACAGAGACACACAGACACGTACAGAGACACAGTAACACACACAGACACGTACAGAGACACAATAACACACACAGACACGTACAGAGACACAGTAACACACAGACACGTACAGAGACACAGTAACACACAGACGCGTACAGATACACAGTAACACACACAGACACGTACAGAGACACACACACACAGACAGTAACACACAGACACACACAGCCACACACACAGACACACACAGAGACAGTAACACACAGACACACACAGAGACAGTAACACACAGACACACACAGAGACAGTAACACACACAAACACACAGAGACACACACAGCCACGTACAGAGACATAGTAACACACACACAGCCACGTACAGAGACACAGTAACACACACAGGCACAGACACACAGAGACAGTAACACACACAGACACACACAGACACACACAGAGACACACAGAGACAGTGGCACACACAGACACACACAGAGACAGTAACACACAGACACACACAAACACATAGAGACACACACAGCCACGTACAGAGACATAGTAACACACACAGCCACGTACAGAGACACAGTAACACACAGATACACACAGAGACAGTAACACACACAGACACACACAGAGACACAGTAACACACACAGACACACATAGAGACAGTAACACACACAGACACACACAGAGACACAGTAACACACAGAGACACACACAGACACACAGAGACACACACAGACACACACAGCCACACATAGAGACACACACAGACACACACAGAGACACAGTAACACACAGCCACGTGCAGAGACACAGTAACACACACAGACACGTAGAGAGACACAGTAACACATACAGACACGTACAGAGACACATTAACACACACAGCCACGTACAGAGACACAGTAACAGATACAGACACGTGCAGGGACACAGTAACACACACAGACACGTACAGAGACACAGTAACACACACAAACACGTACAGAGACACAGTAACACACACAGACACGTACAGAGACACAGTAACACACACAGACACGTACAGAGACACAGTAACACACACAGACACGTACAGAGACACAGTAACACACACAGACACGTACAGATACACAGTAACACACACAGACACGTACAGAGACACAGTAACACACAGACACGTACAGAGACACAGTAACACACAGACACGTACAGAGACACAGTAATACACACAGACACGTACAGAGACACACAGACACGTACAGAGACACGTACAGAGACACACAGACACGTACAGAGACACAGTAACACACACAGACACGTACAGAGACACAATAACACACACAGACACGTACAGAGACACAGTAACACACAGACACGTACAGAGACACAGTAACACACAGACGCGTACAGAGACACAGTAACACACAGACACGTACAGAGACACAGTAACACACACAGACACGTACAGAGACACAGTAATACACAGACACGTACAGAGACACAGTAACACACACAGACACGTACAGAGACGCAGTAACACACAGACACGTACAGAGACAGACACGTACAGAGACACAGTAACACACACAGACACGTACAGAGACACAGTAACACAAAGACACGTACAGAGACACAGTAACACACAGACACGTACAGAGACACAGTAACACACACAGACACGTGCAGAGACACAGTAACACACACAGACACGTACAGATACACAGTAACACACACAGACACGTACAGAGACACACAGACACGTACAGAGACACAGTAACACACAGACACGTACAGAGACACAATAACACACACAGACACGTACAGAGACACAGTAACACACAGACACGTACAGAGACACAGTAACACACACAGACACGTACAGAGACACAGTAACACACAGACACGTACAGAGACACAGTAACACACACAGACACGTACAGAGACACAGTAACACACAGATACGTACAGATACACAGTAACACACACAGACACGTACAGAGACACAGTAACACACAGACACGTACAGAGACACACAGACACGTACAGAGACACACGTACAGAGACAGTAACACACACAAACACGTACAGAGACACACACAGACACGTACAGAGACAGAGACACACACAGACACGTACAGAGACAGAGACACACAGACACGTACATAGACACAGTGACACACACAGACACGTACAGAGACACAGAGAAACACAGTAACACACACAGGCACGTACAACACACATCGAGAGACACAGTAACACACAGATACAGACAGAGACACACATAGAGAGACACAGTAACACACAGACACGTACAGAGACAGAGACACACATAGAGAGACACAGTAACACACAGACGCGTACAGAGACACAGAGAGACACAGTAACACCACAGACACGTACAGACAGAGAGACAGTAATACACACAGACATGTACAGAGACAGAGAGACAAAAAGTAACACACACAGACACGTACAGAACCACAAAGACACAAAGCAATACACACCGAGTAGTACACATCGACATAGATGTAACACACAGACATGTTACAGAGACACATACACAGAGCAATACACAGAATCACACAGACACGTACAGAGACACAGGAATAAGACACAGATGTAACACACAGGCACGTTACATAGACACAAACCGAGCAATACACACAGATGTAACACACCGAGTAATACACACAGACACGTACAGAGACACACAGAGACATCAACACACTAATACAGATGCAATATAGAAACGTACAGAGATACGTAGACATTCATACAGAGGGACAGGAACAGTGAGACGGAGAGAGACGAGGATACACAGATAAGACATAGCCACAGATACAGACAAACATACACAAAGACAATAACACAGACAACACAGAGAGATCACAGAGAGACAGCTGTGCATGGATTGACTGGAGGTGTTGTTACGAAGCTAATGAGGCCGTAGCAGCGCTACTAGAGAGACACGGAGACGAGAGATCGAGAGATAAGAGCTGTATGGAGATAGAGACACAGACACTGATGCAGTTGTAGATACGGAGAGATAAGAGGCAGGGACACAGGAATAAACCGATACAGAGAGACATAGATATACAGAGAGACATTCATTCTCTCATGGCACCGCCGAATCGCATACTCCATCGCATAATTAGCATACTCATAACACAATTACCATACGCCACCACAGCATATTCTAAGCCTGTGATTAGCAAATGTTATATCACACTATGTCTGAACAGTTACGCTTATTGTTTTACAGCTGCGTTTACATGATGCCAACTATGCCGGTGGGACGTCATTAAGTCAGAATGATCAACAACAATTAATCGTCTGCCAAAGACGCGGTAATGATATACTCGGGTCACTAGGCAGATGCGCGTCATGAAACTGCATTGAAAAAGCACCAGGGGAGGCAGCTATCACATCTGCCTCACTGAGGGGGGCGTGGCTTGAGCCCACGTAATTGACGCCCACTCTCCCTCCACGTTAGCTAGCTGTAGCAAAAAAAATTCCAGCGGCTGCAAAAATGGAAAACGTTATATCTAACCTTAAAAAGTTCTCAAAGTTGGACTTTCAATCACAACTGGCAGTGATAAACAATGGAAGACCAATGCCTGAGCTTGAGGACCTACTTCAAACGAAGGGACAGAAAATAACACGGTCGTTTCAAATGGAGTGGTACCAACGAAAAGACTGGCTGTGTGGCTGTGCTACGAAGAATCGCCTTTACTGCTTCCCCTGCCTTCTGTTCTCCACTACCGACAACGTTTGGACTAACGCGGGATTCTGTGACTTGAAGAATCTACCAAGGAGCCTCAACAAACATGAAAAATCGACAACTCACATTCAAAGCCAAATTGCTTTAAAAACTTTTGGAGCTTCAAGGATAAATCTGGCCTTGATTGAACAGCGGAGATTAAATATCAGCATCCACAATGCTAAGGTAAAGGAAAACCGTGAGGTTTTAAAAGACCTTATTAATGCGACCTGCTTCCTAGCCAAACAGGAATTAGCATTTTGTGGTAACGATGAGAGTGCAAGCTCTTCTAACCGTGGCAACTTTGTGGAGCTATTACATGCTTTTGCTGAGAAAGATGAAAAGTTAGCAAGACATTTGGAGACATCCACTGTGTTTTCTGGCTTATCAAACAGAATACAGAACGATTTAATCGAAGCAGTCGGTGATGTAATTAGAAATGATATCAAAGCGGAGATTCATGCAGCCCCATTTGTTGCAGTCGAAGTAGACGAGACAACGGATGTCACAAACAAAGCCCAGGTCTCTGTGATTTTGCGTTATGTGGCTAAAAGTGAGGTGACTTGTGAGGTGAGGGAGGCGTTCTTGGGATTTGATGATGTCAGTGATGACAGACAAGCACCGGCTATTGCTGATTATGTTTTGGGAGTGTTGAGGAAATACAATTGCGTTGAAAAGCTGGTAGCTCAGACTTACGACGGAGCCTCTGTAATGGCATCAGATCTTAATGGGGTGCAGGCCAAGATTAAAGAAAAGGTACCTGAAGCCAGGTTTACCCATTGTTATGCACACAAATTGAACCTGGTGCTCTCGCATTCAGCAAAATGTATGCCTGAGTGTAAAACGTTTTTTAAAACAGTTGAGGGACTTGCGATGTTTTTCAAAAAGTCCACCAAGCTTGCCCACCTACTGGACGATGTTGTGAAGCGACGTTCACCAAGAGCAGCGCCCACAAGATGGAGCTCAAATTCTAGACTAGTTCAGACGATCAGCATGTACCAATCTGATCTGAGTGCTGTGTTCCGGCTTATGAGCGAACATCCCGATGGTTGGGACACTAACACCCTGATGATGGCCGCCGGATATGATCTCTGGCTGTCAAAAGCATCAACCTGCTTCTTCATAATGGCATATGAGGGCATTTTCAATGAAACCGATGCACTCTGTCGTGTGCTGCAGAATAAAGTAATGGACATAGGATTCTGCTGTGCACGAATCCGCGGCACAATGGGAGTTGTGGAACGCCAGAGACAAGAGTTTGACAGTTTCTATGATCGATTCGAGCAGAAATGCATCACACTTGGCCTGACAGACAATGCCCAAAGTAAACAGCCGATCAGAGATGAGAGGAAAATAATGTTTTATAACATTCTGGACAATGTCAGTGTTCAAATGAAAGCTAGGTTTGATAATTTCAGTGAGCTAACTTTCCTTGGTTTGGTTGATTGCACGAAATTTTATGAAATGTCACAACATTTCGATGACACCAAACTGCAGAGCCTATCAAAATATGCAAGGTACTTTGACTTTGTTCGATTAAAGGCTGATCTTATCGGATTGTATAGTTCACAAATGGTGAGGAACGAATGCAAATCACCCGGACAGCTCCTCAGCTTTTTGGCCCAGAATGATCTGATGCAGACGGTTCCCGAGGCGACAAAGTTACTCCAGCTGGTGCTCACTATACCAGCTACAACAGCGTCCGTTGAAAGGTCGTTCTCTGCTTTGAAACGACTCAAAACATACAGTCGGAATCGGACTGACCAAGGACAACTTTCATCCCTGCCAATCATCTCTATTGAGATGGAGAGACTTTTAAAACTAAAAGAAAATAAAGAGGACTTCTACAACAAAGTCACTGACATATTTGTCCAGAAGGAAAGGCGAATGGACTTTGTGAATAAACAAGTAAAGGTAAGACCATGCAATATATTTTCATTTGTGTCGAATGAGTATGAATAGTGGAACTGTATTCGCCTATAAAACGTGAATCGAATACGTAACTTACCTGTATGCGTGTGTTGTAAAGAATGCCGACATGAAATATGAAACATACGGCCGCCTAACCAATAGTCATTGTGCAACCTGCCAATTGAATGGTGAATTTAAGCTACCTCTATCGGGTTCATATGTGTGTGTGTAAATCTGGCTCTGATACTAGCCAGTGCCTCCCCAGCCATTGACCTCACTGTACGTCACTGCTCGGAACTGTTTGTTGCCCGTTCTTAAAGTCAACAGTTGTGATGATCGCCGCCTCTTGGGAGTGATAATCAATTATGTTAATTATTCAGGCCCATATATAGAGTAACGGGGGCATGGCTTTGCCCATTTAAGGAACACTGGAACGAGAATCGACGTGTTTTTTAACGATTAAATGCTCGATTAAACGGGAATCGACTGATTTTTAACGATACCAAGCTTGATCCATGTGTAGCGACTCACTTAGAGACACTAGGAGTAGGAGGCACGCTATTTATTATCAGCCTTCAAACGGGTTACAAAGGGGTAACTACAACTCTCAGTGAAGACAGCTGGCAGGCTGCCTGACTGACGACGCCGAAAAGGTGTAGACGGTGATGAAGACTCCAGCAGCACGACGGGATCCTACTCCAAGCAACAGCCCCGAGCCTTCGCACGGGAGCCCCTTTTATCCTCCCGGCGTGGCCTCGCTCCGCCCCGGCCACGCCCCCCTTCTAGAACCGCAGGTTCCCGGGCTTACCTCACATGCCCCCTAACCCCTTTCCCTTACATCCCTCTCTCTGACTTATCACGTGACCTGCTGGCAGACAGGGCTGCTGCAATTGCAGATCCCCTTCACTGCCAGAAACCCGCGCTATGCTAGTGACCCATTCCATGTCACTACACATGCTTGATCTATGCTCAAACATGATTTTTTATTCGATATAGTGATTCCTGCCATGTGCTTTTTGGGTCTAAAGAGACGATTTGTGGATCAAAAAAAGCCCACATTAGTACCGCCCCTTTTACGCTGATTGACTTCCTTCAACATTAACATGATCGTTAATTCGGTCGCGTGTATTATTCTGCGTGGCGCTCGATAATAATGTTCACTGGCACGTTGCACAGAGTTGCCCGTGGTGCGTGGTGTACACTTGTTGATGCTTACAAAGGCGATCGCACGCTGGTCCCATGCACTTTAAAAATCGTGGTGCTTAACCTTTACTGCAGCCTTGCACCCTTTGGTTCTCAATCGGTAAAAAATATATAATGTTCATAAATACATAGGGCTTGATGAAACAAAGTACAGTAAAACCTTGGATTGCGAGTATCTTGGTCTGCGAGTGTTTTGCAATACGAGCAATTTTTTTAAAATAAATATTAATTTGATAAACGAGCGAGGTCTTGCAATACGAGTAGTACGTATACGCTTTGTCTGCCGAGCGTCACGTGATCACAACTGATATACAAGTGCATTGATATACGAGCGCTTTGGATTACAGACACGTTTCCGGAACGAATTATGCTCGCAATCCAAGGTTTTACTGTAGCTGTATACTTATGTGCCCGTACTTAATTTTTTCGATTATTTCCCTTTTAAAATAATCTGACCACGTAGATATATCAATATCTACGTGGCTTTACCGAAAGACCCAAGAATTTGAATTCCTGCAGTCACGAAAGCTTTAAGTCATCATTTAATCTGACCATGTCTCGCACCCCCAGGGGGCACGTGAACCTCAGGTTAAGAACCACTGGTCTAGATTGAAAACTGTATTTCTTTAGAACTGTTTTTTTGTGTTTAGTTAATCCATCGGATGAACTCTGTCCATCCTCGCAGCGGCTTTTGGCGAACTATCGCGCGCTTTCAGATGTGCTTCTTCAGCTGTCTGGAATACCCTTCTGATATTAGGAAGTCACTGGGAGCTATGTACTTTTAAATCATTAGTTGAGCTCTCATTTTTGATGGACAGGTCGCTTCTGAAAAAGAGCGACCAGGCTACAAATCATAAAACTTTTAACTGAGACACCAAAGTTGGCCGATTGTGGTTACATCTGGCTATGCCACCCCCTCTTGTGTCGTGCCGACTTTCATAATATCCTCGCTAACAGCACCTGCATTTGCCCCATCAGTCTGCATTTGTGTATGTACAATAGTAAACGTGTGTGTGTATATATATTCTAGATTTAAAGCTTTCGTGACTGCTAGGATCCATACTCTTTGGTTCTATTGGGTAAAGTCACGTAGGTGAAAATAAAATAACAAAAAATCACGACGTTTCGGCCACAACACAAGCGGCCTTCATCAGCGCTGTCCTCCAGACAGTCTCGTCCCTTCACCTGATGAAGGCCGCTTGTGTTGTGGCCAAAACGTCGTGATTTTTTGTTATTTTATTTTCACCTACGTGACTTTGCCCAATTGAACCAAAGAGTGTGTATGTATATCGTATTATATGTTAGAATGTCTGTTTTTTGTTCCCCAGATGTCTTCTTATATGGAATGTCCGGTCATCAAACAAGAAAACGAAGAGACTGCAAGCTCTGGGATGTGTCCTGACTTCACTGTTAAATACGAAGATGCTGCCGGTGAGAATAACACTCTAAAGCAATAGTCAAATATGAATCATCATTGCAGGAACAACAATTGCTTCTGCTGCTGAAATTGTGTATTCCCAAATGAGTAATTTACAGGTACGGTGCAATTGTGATCCCAAATGAGTAAGGTGTTAACTACCTCACCTGGTATACAGGAGGTTGTGGGTTCGATCCTGACTCTGACGCCTACTATATATTTTTGGAGTTTGCGTGTTCTCCCCGTGGTCACATGCATTTTTCTCCGGGTAATCCGGTTTTTCCCTCCACATTTAGCAACATACGTTTAGAGTATTTGGCTGCTATAAATTTCCACGTGATAAACCACTTTGTTGAGCTACCATTTGTGGACAGGTCGCTTCTGAAAAAGTGCTAGAAAGCTCAGTGGGCCTTACCTGGTAAAATTACAAAAAAATTTAGTTTAACACAGAATTTCGTGACCAATATTATTTGTAAGAGGTTTTTTTTTCTGGTTATATCACGTTAATGGTTATAGGAGAGGTGTGCGGTATGTGGAGTGACGTCACCCCCTCATGGTTATTGTGGAGGGGTGCGACAAGTGGAGTGACATCACCCGCTCATGATTATTAATGAGGGGAGGGGTGCGGCATGTGGAGTGCATGACCTTGGGCCTTAGTATACATTTCGACGTGGGTATTGATATTAATGAAGGGGGGGGGGGGGCATTTTGCAGTGACATCATGCACGGATGTAGCACTGTGCTGCGTAGATTTATTTTTTACCGTCACTTTCTGTAAAGAAACGTCATATTTGAAGCGACTCTCCGTGATAATTTATTCAATTCAACTATATCTTCCTCTGCGTTAGTGTAAAAATCCACCCACTTATGTATATTAATGAGGGGGGGGTGGGCCTCATGTGGAGTGACGTCATGCGGGGGTGTGGGCCTCATGTGGAGTGACGTCACACGTGGGACGGACACATTTCTGGGTGATTATCGTAGGTGACAAACCTTACTAATTGGTTGTGTCGGTGGTAGCGGGTTTATTGACACATTTATATTTAGAAGATCTAACCCAAATAAAACCTCTATTATAGTTTTATACATCAAAGACAAAAATTAAAGAGAAGCCATAGTGCTACTGTGGTCATGCGACTTAAACTATGAACCACATCGTAAATCACTTTAGTCTGCGCTCCTTCAACGGAGGAGTGGGAAAACTAAGCAACCATTCTCTAGAAGCCCTCTTGTGGACACCAGACCTCGGCATTTAAATTCGGCTCCCCGGACACATTGCCAGATGCAGTCATAGAATTGCAGAAGCAAAGTGACATGCAGTGTCGAACTATACTTTGCTCAAACACCAGAGATTTTTATTTCCTGAATAAGTAAGAAGGCGATCCTTTTCGTTCTGAATATTTGAAGTGTCTTTTTTGAGTAACGGTACTTGAAAGCACACATGCAGACACAGGGGGGCAATGCGCTATTTCAATGAAGGAGGGAGGGGCCTATGCATTCTCCAACTGTGGGCCCCCCCCTCCCCACCTTTCACCGGACTCACTTTTACTGAAATTGCTATGGATGTATTTTTAACCCCCGTGTATAATAATATGTAGGCTCTTAATGATATTATTTTAGTTACACTGTGTATTGAGGTTTAGAGGAAGACGGCCTCACAGTGAGAGTATTACTAAACATTTAAAGGTAACAGTACTCACAATTAAGCTATCGTGCCTCTTGGTTTTCATGCGCATGCCAGTTAGTAAAAAAAACCCTGGTGGTGTTCAGTCACAAACACCAGCAGTAGCGGCTACTAGATTTTACACTGTGTATTTTTTGGACATATTTTTTCATTTGTAACTGTTTTATAGGCATTTATGGTTAATTGTTGGAATGAAAAATATATATTTCACTTGTTTATCTGTTGATTCGGGGGCCCCCTTTGTGACCAACTGGGCCCCTTTGCGTCGAATAACGCTGCCAGATAACCCCCCCCCCCCCCCCATGATTGCTCACCTGTGCAGATACACATCAAGGCCATAACTGATAAAAAATAGATATATTCCCACAACAAGCAAAATGCTGACACACACCAGGGCTGTAACCGATACAGTATTTACGCGGCACAACACCACACCCAGCAACCTCTGTCTCCCCAGTGATTATGTTTACACACCGCAACAGGTACTCATTTGAGGCTGAGTCTACCTAGGGGAGGCCTGTGACCAACTTAGATAATCGTTACTGGTGTTGACCGTGAGCAGGAATCGAACTCAGGTCGCCAGGTTTGTAGTGTAGAGTGCCAACCGTTACACTACCGCTTCCCAAAAACTCTACACACACAAACACTCACACACACTCGCACACTCTGAAGAACAGGTGGGAGAATGTATAAACTTCA